CCAAAGCTTCTGGACTGATGGAATAAAGTTCGTAGGAACTCACAAAGGGCCATGCCAAAGCCAGCACAGGGCACTGTAGGACAGGTGCTGTTCAAGGATCCTTATTGCATTATCTTATGACCACCTTGTGACTTAAAGACTGGTACAGAAGTGGAAATTGAGGCATAGAGCCTATGGCCCAGGCCCTTATGGGAGGTAAGTTCTATTCTCAGTGACATGATGCTATAGATTTTCATTAATTAGGTGTCCAGAGTTGGATCCCTTGAAGCCTGTGGGACTTAAAGTCATTGAAGGACTTGGATGCCTTGCCACATTCCGAGATCTAGAGAGCTGTGGGGAAGATCCAGAAAATGTGATTTTTGAAGTATAGGGAAAACTGAGGCACTCTGCTCAGCTAAGAGGCAGCAGGGAGGCAGTCAGCCCCGTTTCTTGTAGAAAAAAATGGTGGGTTCAGCATCAGTACCTGAACGGAAGCTATAGAGGGGCTGGCTTCATCATTTTAAAATGAAGACCATCCAAGGAACACGGTTGCTTGAAACCAAGCGGGTGTGAGATATTAGGTGATACTGAACTTCCTATCCCTGAGGATGTCCAGAGCCAAGCAGGGGTGGTCTGGGATTGGGAATATGCTGCTGAGGAAATTCCTTTACTGAGTGGAACGGCTTAGGGTGATGTGGGATGTCTGTTTCAGCCAAGATAGGCTGTTGGTCTGATCTTCAGGGTGGGTAGATTAGTAGTGCGGGCTCACCCAGACTTCAATAGGAGAATCGTGAAACCTATTGAGGAATCGTCTGTAATGGAGAGGAACAAGAGACAAGGGCACTCCCCACCTGATTGGCAGGTAGCTCCACCCTCACAGTAGATGTCTGTCCAAGATCTTGGAACTTGAAGCAGTGTCCTGTGCTTAAATTTTCCTGCTCTGTGTGTGTGGGGGTGACTCTGATGCTCGATTTATCCACTTTCATGGGTTTCTCTTTAGCATCCTGGCTCACTGAAGTTCTTCCCTTGGCCTCTGACCTTAAGGATAGCATGGCAAGTTCTTAACCTCCACCCAGGTCTCTTGCGCTGGCATCTCGAGCTGCCCTCTTCTTCTAGCACAAGATGAGCTCAGTTACTTCCACACAGCTCGTTGGAACAGCAAGTTCTTCTGAGTCCTGCCTCCCACTGTCTTCCCAGGTGTTCCTCGTGAAGGGACTCTGGCCAGCTCACAGTTGCCACTCAAGACCACAGCTCCTTTCCCAGCTCCCACTTAGAAACGAGGTCCTAAATCTGCTCAAGCTAGAAAGTTACGCAGCAACGGCCCCCCCCCCCCCATGCAGACTGATGTTGTAGGAGTGAGACATGGTGGGTGGATCCACAGTACTTAGGGTCTGAGCTGCATCCCAGAATCACGGCCGCTGACCCAGAAGTGTGGGCTCATTGGAAAAGGGTGAAAAGGGGTGACCAGGAGGGCATAGGTGTCTGCAGTGGGTGGAAGACCAGGAGAGCAGTGGTTGCTGGGGTCAGCATGCCATCTCTTTTGCTTCCCAGATTTCTACTCCCTTCCCAGGTTGCAGGGATTTTGAGACACTGTGCATCCCTCCTTGGCCGTCAAGCAGAAGTTTCAGGCATTCACACATCTGAGGTGGTTTCCTTAAGACAGAGCCTTGGGTTTGATTTCTGCAGCCACACGGAAAGCAGAACCGCGGTGCCCTGTTAGGCAGTCCTGTCTGGCCTGTGTGTTTGAAGGCTTCCTTGGAGCTGTTGGGAGCCCTTGGCATCTCCTTTAAGCCCTTGCATCTGTCTCGATGTAAAACCTTTCTAGAGCTTTGAATTCTGCACAGGGAAACAAACAAACAAACAAACTTTCTTCCTTCTTGTCTCTTCGTGGTCAGCGTGCAGAGGGAGGGGGGGTGCACTGGTGAGCTTCCTCATTTAGGAAACTCCATCTGGCAGCAGAGAAGATGGGGACAGATTAGCCTGATTGTCTGGAAGCTGAGATGAGTCATATCTCCAAGACACAGAGGCCACACACTGGGAATGCAGTTTGATACGACAAGTCATCCTTCCTTGTCAACTGGGACATTTTTAGCAAGATGGTAAGATACTCCAAATGCTCTGGATACCTGTTGGCTGAGAGGCGGGGTCTATGCCAGACATCCTATTCCCTCGCCCAACTCTGGCTGTCTTTGCCTGGTTTTCTGTGGGCTGTCGGGGCTGCAATGGCTGTGAAAGTTCAAAGGTCTCTGTGTGTACATGTTTCGGTGCGTGTACAAGTGTGTACATGCATGTAGAGTCCAGAAGTTGATATCTCACCATTTCCTCGATTGCTCCCTACCTTATTTTTTTTGAGACAGGGTCTCTCTGAATCTTGCTGGCTTTCATTTGCCAGAGATCCTCTTGTCTCTACCCTCTCCAGCGATGCTAAATCCATTTTTTTTTAAAAATATAGATGCTGAGTCTTCATGCTTGTGTGGTCAGCACTTTATTGATGAGATCCATCTCGCCAGCCCCAAAGTTCTGTTTTTGCAAGCAACCGAGATCCTCAGCTCATTTTATTCTGACTGGAAGCTACTGTGAGCCCACAAGCAATCCCTCTTCCTTTCCAGTGCCCCTTCACCCAAGGTGCATGTAGAAGCAGAGATGATTCAAGCTGGAGGGGCTCTGAAGCCGCCCCTCCCATGCCTATCAATCACCCTGGGAACTTCTTAAAATGTTTCCTTTACAGAGTCTCTGGTGGGGCCCAAGGAGCCATATTGTCACAAGCTTTCAGGGACTGTGGGTGTCACCAGTTAGAGGAGAGCAAAGATTCTGCTCAATGTGGTTATTTTATGGATGTGGAAGCTGAGGCCCAGAGTGTAAGAACGTTTGTCCAGGGTCATAAGTAGAACCCTGTTCTTCCCACTTGCAGTCCATCTACATGAAAAAGAGCCTTCTTCATTTTAAGCATTACTTCCTGAGCAGGCTCAAAGCTCTTGCAAGACTCTCGCACCCTACCTCAATCTCACCCACTGTCAAGAAGGAAAGACCTCTTGTCCCATCCGGGTCCCTTACTTCACAGCCTGACTCTTCCATTTCTGATGAGGTTTCTAAAGTGACTTATTCTTTTCAGGAAGTGTTAAAAATATCATCTCTGTCTTAAGAAAAAAAAACACATCAAAAAACGGGCAGGGCGCACTTTAAGATACAACTATGTTTTGCTCTACACTAGAACTGTTAAACCCACTTGGCAGTTGCTACTCTGTCTCGCCTTGGGTGTTCTGAGAAATGCTCCGGGGTCTTCCTCTTCTGCTATGTTCCGATAGAGGCCACGCTCCAGTGTGTTGGCTACCCCTTAGTCTCTGTGCTTCCCAGAGAACCCCAAAGTCACTCAGAATGGCACTTGAAGTGTCAGGGAGATTCCCAGTGGACAAGGACACCAGGGACTGGCCTGGGGCCAGTAGGAATTGGTTTGAGAGTCTAAGGCTGTCTCCACTCTGTCCCCTCCTGCTGGCGGGAGGGCAAAATGCCATTCTGGGGACAAGGCCATCATGGCGACAGGGTGTAAAAGTCTCTTTGAGGCCAAAGGAAGGCAGAATGTAATGGGAAGTCAGGAAACTGCCTTTTATAGGCATGTTCTTTTCTTCCCCTCCTTTCATCCAAGTTTACTCCTTGCAAAAAGTGCCACGGCAAGACATCGGGTCTGTAGGTTGGGGGCATAGGGGCAGGCTGGTGGCACCGCAATACCCCTTCCCCCATCTTGCCTGCAAGTTGCATGACCTGCATCGGAATCCACAGGGGGGCGGGGGAGAATCCTTTCAGATCCTGGATGCGGTTGAATTCAATGCATTTTGCTTCCTTGCCTGCCCTCACCCAAGCTTGGGGAGGAGAGCGCCGCTTTCTTCTGCGTGTGAATGCTGTAGTGTGTCTGCCTGCTCGGACTCCCCTAACCCTTTCTTCTCCTTTCCCACAGCCAAATCTCAGACTTTCGCAGGAAACAGCTCTCATTTTACATATTTATATTTTATTTTTATTTTTAAAAAACCTATCAAGACTAAAAGCGTGGAATATACTTCTCTCCCGACCGGGTCTAAACTTGCCTCGAAGACTGCACCTGTTTTGCGTCCCTACCAGGAAGGGGTGTTTGGGGGGAGGGAAAGAGGGAGGTTCTGCGCCCCCCAAATCCGGAGAAAGCAGCCCTCCCGCCCCCTCACCCGGCTGCCAGCTCAGCGCACCCGAGGGCTGAGCCTAAGAAGCCGACCTCTGACGGCGCTGGCGTGGCGCTTGCCAAAAAATGCCCTTTGCATCTCAATTTCCCGACCGTTTCTTTCGCTTGTATCGCTCGCCCAGGGCCACCTCGGTTCTCCAGCGCAGTCTTGCAGACACTCCTTTCCCCTCCATTCCTTCTTTCTCTGCTCCCTGCTTGCCCAAGGCGGAACCCAAAAGGCACCGCCAAGAAGGAGCAGTGGGCATGGGGGCACCCAGCGTGCCAGGTCCCGCAGTCCCCTCCCAAGCCAAGCCCAGCTCCCGGGACTCTCAATTACCCAAATGAGTGTCATTCAGGTCTAGGCACAGCTGTGGCCGGCGTCCCTGGCTGCCTCTCTCGGGTTCCTGTGCGCTCCTGTTCCCCGTCACTGTCCGCGAGCCTGTGCCCCTCACCCAGGCTGGGGAGCACCCCGGGTCACCTCGGCCGCGCTCATTTCACTTCCTCCCGCGGAGGAGATTGCAGCAAAACCGGGCAGCACAAGGGCCAAAAAGTGGAAGGGAGAACGCCTTTCGTGTCGCGCATCCAGCTTGCCAACTCTCCCTCCCCAGCGCCGACCCTCGGAATCCCAACTGCAACTTTTTCCCTTCCGTCTTGGTTTCCCCTCGGCTGCGGCGAGCGGTCGCGGGGCCGCTAGGCGTGGGGCGGGCGGGCAGCGGCGCGGCTACGGGTGGCGGTACCGGAGAGAACCGAGAGCCGGCGAGTGGGTGGGTGGGTGGGGAAGCAGGAGGGAGAGGACGGGCGGGGAGAGAAAGGGGTGTGGGGAGGGGAGGGAGGGGGAGATTCCGCTCTCCTGCCTCTCCCAGCCCGGGCGGGGGGCGGGGGGGAGGAGGAGGCCGCGACGAGGGAGGGGAGAAGGGAGGGGAAGAGGGAGGGAGGGAGGGAGCCGAGGAAGACGCTCCGATAACCCGTGCGTTTCGTAAGGCTCGGAGCACTTGTACATTTCTGCAGGCGCGTAGCAAGCCATTCGCGGCGGCTGCTGCTGCAGCTCTGACTGCATCTTCCTCCTCCTCCTTCCTCCAGCTCCACGCGTGTGTATGTGAGTGTGTGCGAGTGTGTTTTGCAGGTGTGCCCGTTTTAATTCTGCCCAGGAGGTGGGACTTGGTGACTTTAGCACCATTTTTTCTCTTTTATTATTATTATTATTTTTTGCCTTCCCACCGACTGTTGTTGCAACCCTGCAAAGTATCGGAGTCGGAGAGTGCGCCTCGTTTCCAGAGCTCCTGGACCCCGCAAGCCGGCGAGCGCCGAGCCGGCCACCATGCCCGGCAGACCGCGCCACTAGGCGCTCCCCGCGGCTCCCACCCGGCGGCGGCGGCCGCGATGGTTTCCGACGCTGAAGGATTTTGCATCTGATCGCTCGGCGTTTCAAAGGCAGAGGCCCCCCTCCCCCTCCCCCCTCCCTTGCCGTCTTTGTTTCCTTCCCCCCCTGCTCTCCCCACTCCCCCCACCCCACCCCCCTCTCCTCTCCTCCTCCTCCTCTTTTTTAGAAGCAGCGATCGGAGATGGATGTCTCTCTTTGCCCAGCCAAGTGTAGTTTCTGGCGGATTTTCTTGCTGGGAAGCGTCTGGCTGGACTATGTGGGCTCGGTGCTGGCTTGCCCTGCAAATTGTGTCTGCAGCAAGACTGAGATCAATTGCCGGCGGCCGGACGATGGGAACCTCTTTCCCCTCCTGGAAGGGCAGGATTCAGGCAACAGCAATGGGAACACCAGCATCAACATCACGGACATCTCAAGGAATATCACTTCCATGTAAGTCAGGCGGCCGCTGCCCAACCCGCCCCCCCTCCACTCCACGCCCCAGCTCCGCGTCTCCCTCTTGCCCGCCCGCGGCCCGGGAACCGGCCCTGCGCTCCCCAGCTCGCCTCTGCTCGCAGCCTGCCGGGCGCGCGTCAGGCTCGCCCTGGCTCGTGAGATGCTATAGGGCTGCGTGTTCCAGGTGACTCCTGCCCTAGCCAGGCGTGATCGGATGATGCTGGTGGGTACCTCTCCCTGGAGAGGACCCTTCCGGGCGGAGGGCACCCGGGGCCCAGCTCCTGTCCCTGTCTCCACCCTCTTGCTGGCTCATTTCGAGGGTGCGAATTGGGTTCTTTGCCCCCCACTAAATAGCAACAGTTTGGCCACGCTCAAGTGGTATAAAGTAGAAGGCGGCTCGGTTTCCTGACAGGCGGTGGCGGATAGCGGCGGCAGAGGCAATGCTTAGCTGAGAAGGGAAGGTGACAGATAGGGACTGCTTGGGAATCAGTTGAGATTTTTTTTTTAACTCTTTCCTTTTGGAGACAGCAAAACGTGCCAATAAGTAAACAAGTTGGGAGCTTGCTGCTCCCGAGGAGACTTCGGACGTGTTCAGGCCCTCATGGACGCCTATCTCTTTGCTTTTCCTACCCCCCCTCCCCGCCGCCCTCTCCAACCCCATTTTGGGCATTTCCGAGATATCCCCCCCCCTTTCCCACCCTCATCTGCATCTGAGCGCCTACAGACCCTTTCCTGGCTTGGGCTTCTTTAACTGCCCAGGATAATTCTGAGTCAGGCTGCTGGAGGGAGAAGAGAGGAGGACCTTTTTGAGAAGGAGATTCCTTCTACAATTCTGCGATTCTGTTTATTTCAAAAATTGAACTCTGCTTGGCGTTTGCCTGGTTTGCCCCGTCTGAGTGGGACCTGCGGTGGCAGTGGTGGCCTGCTCTTTTCTTGTTGTTGTGTTTCTTTGGTAGGGATAGGGACCAGAGGCCTGGGAGGGAGAGAAAGGAAGAGCTCAGGCTGCCTGAGCCGGCATAGCCTTTCTTTCATCCCTCAGCCAGGTGACCACCACCCCTCCTACCCTGCTGCCGCCCCCCCCTACACCCTCAAGGGTATGAATGCCCCTGGGATGTTCAGAGGATACCTCATTGCTTTTTGTCCCAGGGCTTCTAAAGGATGGGTAGAAAGGTAGCCAGGCTCTGGGGGAGACATTTAGGGTAGATCTTTTCCTTGGGGACAGACTGGAGCAAGAAGGGACTCAGTGTGCTATGGACACTGCCTGCTCGGTGTCCACCTTCTCTTTGCTCCAGCCATTGCCTCAGGGCTACAAAGCCGGAAGGAATTGCAGTCCTTGCCCTCTCCAGAGCCCACCAGCCTTCTTGGTTCTTGCAGCTTACACTTTGAGGGAAATGGGCAGACCTAGGAGATGTCCCTGACTCCTGGTCCAGGGGACAAGCCTGACCCATATCTTATCTCTACTATTGACTCCTTACCACTTCCAGCCTGGCCGAGGGTGACCAGAGAGACAACCAAGGGGGAAGGGGAAGGGAGCGGAGGAAAAGGAAAAAGCCTCTTCCCCCTCACAGGCCACAGTGCCCATCCAGTAAATCTGAGGATGCCAGGGGCAAGGTCTGGAGGGGGCTTGTCAGGGAAGCTGGTACCTGGAAGTGCACCCTCTGGGGCCCCTGGGTGGAGGGATGGATGGAGCAAGCGTAGTGGCTTCTGCTCTGGAGCTGGGCTTGGAGAATTTCAGGTGATTGGCTGTGCCAAGGGTTGGAGAGTTTGGGAGTCGGTGAGCTGTGTCTGCTTGTTCTCTGCTCCATGGCTGTGCAAATCCCAGGGAACCCTCAGGGAGGCAGGGTTGATCACAATCACATAGGCTCTTTTTGGTCACACAGAGATGTCACACCTCTAAAAAGGAGGCTTGGGAAAGCAGTTCCACAGGAGAGAGTAGGATTGGTCTTTCCTGGAGACATTGTTGGGAGAAGGGGACACAGGTGGCCTCTTGCTCCCCTTGGGCATTAGAGGACCCCAGGAAAGTGCCAGCGGCAATATGAGCATGGAGTGGATCAGGAGCCCCTTGGCGTGTGCTGGACTCTCCTAAATCCACCTGACACCACAGAGTAAGTGGTAGGGGAGGTCAGAGGTCAGGGGTTGGATGACCCCTTCTCACCCCATCTTTCCCCCAGTGTCCTATTACGTGTGTGTCTGGTATTGACTAAAACTCAAGGGCCCAGACTCCCAGTCCGGAGGAAGAGAATCTCAAGATGGGAGGGGAGTCCTTCTCATCCAGGGATGAACGTGCCCTCATTCTCAGCGTACCCCTTTAGAAATGGAAGATTACAGGAAAAGGGAGCCTTTCCCAGGACTAGCATTTGATTCTAGCATTGAACACTGGTCTGCCTAACATCCCAGGCTCCCAACCAAGGTCCTACTAAAAGGGGTGGGTGCTCGAAGGCAGAGAGGAACACAGGGCAAGGGAGGGCCCAGCCTTTATGTGGCCTGGGAAGGTGCCCTTCAGCTATGTTTCTCGAGGTATAGGGTCAGGAGGGGCATGGCCTCTTAGCCTGGAGCTATGGGTGATGGCATGCAGCCGGACAAATTCTGCACACGGACAGACAGTTTCTCAGGCTGTTCTAAGGCATCCTCAGATAGTGAACTCTGAGTGGAGTTTTTAGACAGACAAGGTTTGTTTCCTCGTAGCCCCAATTCTCTTGAGGTGCCAGTTGTGGTGACTCTATCCATCCAGAGCTTTGAGTGGAAGAAACCCTACCCTCTTGACCACCCTGTTAATATGAGGGGGAAATGAGCCGCGAGACTTCGGGGAAGAAGTGTGGGTCTTGCTTCCGTTCATAGTCCAGCTGCTCCAAACGACCCCCCCTCCCAGTTCCCTTCTTCCCTTTGGTTCCATTTCTGTTCCAAAGGGCAGCCTTTGTGCTACTGTAGCTCTTAATACACCATAGACTCATCCAGAAGGGTCCATGGGCAGCCACACCCTACTAGGCTCTGACGACACAAAGGCCGGAGGGTAGTGGCCAAGATGGTGGCTGCCTGAGACTGCCTCCTTAGGCCAGGCCTATGGGGTTGCGTTGGTCTGGGATAGTATGTCCTTTGAGTGGTTGGGTGAAGATGGAGGTAGAGAGAGTGCCTTCGCTGGGGCAGATGTTCTTGAGATGGGTTGCCTGGATTTGCAAAGACCATGCACTGGTGGCTGGGCGCTGAGCCGCCATTTGTATATTCACCTGAATTGCCACAGGGTTCTAAGTGTTTGGCTGGTTCTTAAGTTCTGTATTTCTCATTCCCTTTGGAAAACTCTCTGCTGACCGAAGGGTCATCTGGGGCCTCGGTTCGCTAGGCTGCTCGGTTCTAAGGACTGAGGTGGGTGACCCAGTCTTGACAAAAGCCGGTCAGAACTGGAATCCTAGTTAAAGTATGAGCCAGGCCCTAATGGCTCCAAGGCCCTGTAGTTAGACAAAGGGTTCAGAGCTCCAGGATTGGGGTTAAGCCTGAGAGAGATAGACAGAGTTGAAACGGGCCTTGGAGGTGCGAGTTGAAAGGGATGAGGTTATACCCTGGATAGAGTGATCGCCAGGAAGGTAGCCGGAGCCCTGGACTTCTTTGGTGGCAGAATTTCATATAGCGGTCAGGTTGTTGGTGGGCGTCAGCATCTCTCATGACCTAGAATCAAGTTCAAGTATGCCCAGGATACTAAACTCTCATAGTACCCCTGGGGCCAAGGACATCAGCTCTGAGGCTACCTGGAAGCTGAGAACATGCTAGTTTGGATACATCTTGAGGAACTCTGGTTGCGGCTTTGAGAGTGAGCACTTGGGTGGCGGGACCAGGAGGGCTGAGATGAGGTCTGGGAGATTCTTTAGGGTCCTGCAGGGTTCCAGCTGCTCTCTTTGCCTTGAAACCCCAATCCTTGCCCTGGCAGACTTGCCAGCTAACCCTTCATGTTTGGAAAGGATGATGGCTCCGTTCCAGATGTGTCTTGGGTATGTGGTATCTGTGGCCCGTCCTGTGGATGGCTCTTACCAGTGTCATGACATTTCTCCCACCTCAGCGCCCCATTGAGTGGCTCTTGCAGCGATCACGTGCTTTTGAGGGGCACAATGGCAGTCTAGGAATAAGGAAAGAACAGGATACAGTGAATTATAACTTAGCTTTTCCCCATCTGCCTTGAGATGTTCTGGAGGGCTCCAGGCACCCACAGCCTGCACATCTAACTATGAATCCAGGCCTTGGGTCAGAGTGTCCCTTCCAACTCGGACATCTGCCATCTCAGTGCCAGGAAACATCCCCCAGGAGGCTTAGCCAGGCCTCACTTAAGGGTCCCTCTTGGACGATTTGTAGTGACTCTGTGATACCACCAGGAGGAGGGCATAGGTGAGCTCACCCTGGCTGTGAGCCACTGCCTTCTCCCCATCTGCTTTCCCACTTCTGGAAAAGCCAGGTCACCCCGAACCTGCCAGGATTTGTGACACAGGACCCGGTTTGTCATGAACGACCGAGACCGAACGCCACACTTCAGACTGTTTGCGGGTCTCTGGCCTTTCCTTAGTGGTTAAGCAACTGACTCCATGACTCGCCTTCCCATCCCTGGGCCCAGGCCTAGAGGAGATGTCCTTGTGGAGATGTCATCCTTGTGCTGGAGAGAGGTCTCCACTGTGTGTAGGAAAATATTAGAACATCCATCTCAAATTATTCTTGCTGATAACGGGAGATATTTAATATTTAATGTACGGATTGGCGATATCTGAGCATATAATAACTTAATAAATATGAGTGTTTGGGGGTTGTAAGATAAATATTTTATTGCTAAATCATGCATAATCAGAACAACATGGTGCCCTTGGTGTCAGTGGAGGACTCTGAGTTTGAGAGGGGATGGGATAGGAGAGGTGATTTGGGGGTCTTTGGCTGTTGCACGCAGTGCTTTGATGAAGTGGTTTGTTAGCTGGTACGGAGAGAGGGGATGGAAGATGGGACCTGGCTCAGTGGGCACAGGTGTG